AAAATTGGAGTTCTCCTTCAGGTAAGTAATGGCAACAAAATAACTCAATTACTTAACTCAAGTATAAAAACTAATGCTTTTCTTGATAATTACAAATTAATTTATAAATGTAAAGTGTTACATCTTTAATGAGACTTACAGGAGAGAAAGAGACTTGACATTAAATTCACTGAACCTCTTAGATTTGGAAAACTTGACAGCATGTGAGAAGATAGTTATAAAAATGCATATTTTTAAAAGCTATATGCATTCATTCTACTTATGTATAGAGATATGGCAGAACATTGAGAATAATTCCTCACACAAAATAATCAATAGAAATATGGTTTTTTTCAAAATTCAAAGCATTCTTTTTTCTTCTATAAGAGCTACTTAATGACATTCAAAAAATGTAAAAAAATCAAAGATATAGTTCAGTGGAAATGCCATTAGATTCTAAATGTTTTAAACTCTCTATATAAGCAAGATATAAAAGTAAAGTTGTTATTCAGAAATAAAAATTGTATTCAATTTTTCTGTATCATGTATTACTTCAAAAAATAATTTTTAAAACAGAAAATTTTAAATATCTTATTCAAGCTCATAATCCTATGTTGAGAGAATTGGGACATACTGGATAATTTTCTTATTTCAATTAGCCTATTATAACCTAATGTATTCTCTACAATGACTATAAAAACGAGTGCTACAGGTTGGCCCCAGAAGGGGAGGTTACTTGTTTTGGTTTGGTTTTCTTTTCTTTTTTTTTCTTTTTTTTTTTTTGGAGAAGAGGAATCATTTCATTGGACTTCATTATTATGATTTAGACAACAATAACATCTTTAATACTTACCATTCATTCTTACATTGTACTAATAATTGTGTTAATTTAAAATATATTCACTGGTCACAATAATCATTAGTCAGGAAACAGAAAATGATTTTCAATCTAAAATTCTGAATCTCAGGGTGACAAGATTTTTTTAAAAGTAGTTACACTGCAAGGAGTTTACATTTTTAAAGAAAATATGAAAGGAATACTGTGTCACATAGAATAACAAAGTCATATAAATACAAGTATAAAATTACCATCAGAAACTTAAAATAATTGAAATGAATATTTAAAACAAAAAGACCTAAGGGGGACTAAAAAGAAATGAGCCACATTTCAGAAACTGGTGAATTTAGCAAAAAAAATTAAAATAATTAAAATGAATTTCATGTTTCGTCTCCATGGTAGTTCTGTTTTCCTCTTTATAACCTCAAAATTTACTACAAAATACTAATGTCCTTGACACATGTCTTATCCCTTCCCAATTGCAAAGATGATATTTTTAAGCTGCTTTCACAATATGAGAATTTTGTTAATCAAATTATTTCTCAACTATTTTAAATTAATCACAAATTCAGCAAATGTCTCATTTCTAAAAGGCATTTATGTTCTTGAGTGTGAAGCAGAAAGTTATATTTTCAAACACAGTTTGTCTTGATGAGGAAATTCAGGACCCATTGGAAATCCATTTGCCACCTAAAAAAACAAAATTTCCTTCTAAGTATTGGCTGGAACCCCACTTCAAAGTGCATATGTCAGAAGTTTCTGAACTCCTCCCAGGCCCCTTTTGCTGAACTTCTGTCTGACAACAGCCATTCCCAACTCTGGGGAAGGCTCCTTCTTCAGAACTTTTTTGCCAAATATTTTGGGCCCTAAGGTTAACTAACACATCAGAGATTTTCAATAAATACCACATTTTTGTCAGAAAGCCAAGAGATCCTACTGAATTTTTTTGTCTAGAAAAAATTTCTGTATCTGCCACAGCCTATCTTACTAAGTTTTCAGTGTCAAGTGTGTTGTGTGAAACTACAAGAGCTATGAAAAAAGCAAGGTACCAAATCACATAGATCAGGCTATCCCTTATTTATAAAATGGTTGTATGTTTCCAGGATGTATAGACTACCCCAGAACAAATAGGTAACACCAAGTGCCTCTGAGGAGAAGAACTGGAGGATAGGAGAACGAGAGCCATCTCTTTTCACTGTATTCCCTTTGGTAGTATGTGTTTTCCCCCTCCCCCAGTGCTAGTATTGTTTTTTAAAAAAACAAAAACAAAATGAGAAAATATTCCTGAGAAATAAATTTCCTGTGAAATCCAATTTAGCCAATAGTTTTCAAGAATCTGCTAAGTATAAATTTCCACACATAATTTAGGCAGACAATGATCAGATGAAATGGAATTAATAAAGATCTTCAATGGAATATCACCTGGATTGTTTTAATTTGTGTCTGTGTATAAATGTACACATACATCCTTCAGACTACCTCTATTTTCAGAATCATCGCCACATATCCAAATAGCATTTCCAGCATAAAGATAGATAATTTCTAGAGTGAGACACAATTAATTGATAGGGAGAAATGTTGAAGACTGTAGATTTTTTTTTCCCTCAGAACTGTTCACCTCCAGTGAAGATACTATTTAGCTTATCAACTTCCTAAGCAGTCAGTGACTCTCTGTAGAGAATCTTCAGCTATGATAAAGTGCTTTTCTTTTTATTTAAAGATGGAAGCATTCCAGATGTAAATGCACTTGTAACAGGATCCGACATGGTTGAAAAACAAAATAAGCAACAAATTAGAATATAACCACTTGATGTAAATTCCATATCAAAATTATAAAGAAAACTACATGAGATAAAATGTATAGCCTGAAAATAGAGAAAATAATCATCTGGGAAAAATTATAATTGTAAACACTTTTTCAATTTGGACAATTAATCAACATGAAGATTATAATAATGATTGCATTTATTAAATATGTTTGAATTTGAAAAATAAAACATAATGATTCACAAGTGACCTTTATATTCTCAGATGTTATAACAACTGTTTTTTACTTACCTTGTTGTTTCTAGGAAAAGTTTGAAATGACTTTCTACTATTTTTTATTTAAGCTAATAAATACAAGCAAACAACACAATTTAAACTAAACCAAAAACTTAAAAACCAAACTGTAGTTTTCAGAAGGATCCCGGCAACTGCTTAAATACATACATAAATGTTCTTTGTGTACCATTAATTAATAAAAAATAAGTAGGCAATTCCAGTGCAGGTAAGGATGAAGACCTAGCCCAAGTGTTTCAAGTTCAGGAAAGACCTGTAAAAGTAGCATCATGTTAAAATTGTAGCAATACTAATCTTGCTAAGTCAATAACTGATGTCTATAAATAATTCATGTAACCTTGCATTTTGTTCTTTCAGTATATTACTCTAAACACTGGGCTAGTAGTCACTTTTTTCCCATAGGTGACCATATGGCTTTTTCCTCCCCTTCTAGGGGAGGGCAGATTCTTTGCAAAACTACACTGAAATGAACAAGACAATGATTAAGACAATAAGATCAAAACCATGAAGGACATTGCCACCAAAGGGCTGAAACCAAAAAGAAAAAGGAATCAGTAACACTGTTCTTGCCTTCAAGACATGTGCTGTCATGTTAAACTTAAATTGTTTTTATACATCCTTTTCTTCCTTTTTATTTTAAAAGAACTACAATAATATCTTGCTTAAGAAAACAATCTCCATAGTTTTCTTTCTCTGGCTTGTCTCTAGGAAAACTTAAAAATTGTATCTTTGTTTCCCTATGATTTTTTTTTCCTGCAAGATTGTTTTCAAAATTTAGTAAACATGCTTTGCACACTTCTTTTGTCTTATTCTTCTTTGTCTTGTTCAGCATTTGGTAGAGAGTTCATAATCTCTACGTTCTTCTTTACCATGCAGCAGGTAAATTTGCAAGTCAAAGGATCACAAAGTTTTTTAAAATCAATTTGTCTATGGTTTAGTAATGTTCAAGAGAAATTATCATCTTAACCTGATTTCTGCATCCATTTTCATATTCCTTGAACAGGTTATATTTTCCAACAACATCGAAAAGAACCATTAGAAACAAGTAGAAATATTTGGAATTTCAGGAATTTTTTTCTTTCTCTTCTTTTTAACCATGGAAGTGATAGGAGAATAAATCCTAAATCAGATATTTCTATATTTACGGGGGGTGGGGTGGGCAGAGGGAAAAGAATGAGAACAAAGGGAAAGAAAGCAGTAAAAAACTTTACAGGTGCAAATTGAACATGAAACATTTTAGCAAATAAAAAACGTACCCCCTTTCCTTGTTCAATCTCCATCCCTGCAGAGTAAAATCAGAATACTTACAAGTTAGCATCTGTGAATTTGTCAGTGTCTGTATGTGTGTTTTCTCTCTTCTTTGGATTTGGATACTTTGAGCTAATTTGGAAGTGCCCGTTTGGTTGCCCACAAAGTGATGCTTAAGGGTCTAAAGATGCATAAATTAGGGAGCCCTACAATGGCAGAGGACGGTCATTGTACCTCTTCTCTTTATGTGCTCTTATGGTGGGACCCAAGAGCCTTTTTTTTTTTTTTTTAACACTTTAGATGATGGAGCGAGTGAGGGGCTGGTAGCTGGAGAGGACAAGGCGTGCCTTGCAAACTACCCCCTCCAAAACTTAGCAGCACGATCCCCTCCCCCATTATACCGCACTCTGCTCGAAGTCACTTTAGGAAAACTGGGGTCTGGATGGGGACAAGCAGGGAGTCCTTCACGTCTAGCCTCGACGCCAGCCTCTGAGTTTCTATTTCTGGTGTTCGAGGGCTGGGGCAACTGCCGCGGATAAAGGCGCGAAGGATGGAGAAAGCAAAGGGGGGTGATCTTTTCATGAAACACCCAACTGCCCCTTCTACCTTTTTGCCTCCACTATAGGGAGAGGGGGCGAGAGAAAAAGATGTCAATGATCATTGTTTGCTCGTTTGGGATGTTGCTCCGCCCCCCGAGTCTGTCGTAAACCTGGCGCCGGACTAAAATAACCCCGATCCCGCAGCTCGGGGGCTCGCCGAGCCGCCGGCTACTCGTCACAGGCGCTGCCGCCGCGGCCGAGGTGGCGGCGACCAGTGGCCGCCGAGTCCCGCCCGCGCCCGCCCCGGGCCCCCCTACCTGGCCGCCCGCCGAGCCATGTCGTTGAGCCCAAAGCACACGACGCCCTTCTCCGTGTCCGACATCCTGAGCCCCATCGAGGAGACCTACAAGAAGTTCGGCGGCGCCATGGACGGCGCGCCGCCCGGCCTGGGGGCGTCCCTGGGGGCCGCTGGGCCGCCGCCGCCTACCGCGCGCGCCGCCGGGCCCTCAGCGCAGCGGCGTCGTGGCGGGCGTGCAGCCGCCTCACGCCATGGCGGGCCAACGCGGCGGCGGCGGCTGCGGCAGCGGCGGCGGCGGCGGCGGCCGCCACTACCACATGCCGCCCGGCGTCTCGCAGTTCCCGCACGGCGCCATGGGCGGCTACTGCAACGGCGGCCTGGGCAACGTGGGCGAGCTGCCCGCCTACACGGACGGCATGCGGGGCGGCGCGGCCGCCGGCTGGTACGGCGCCAACGCGGACCCGCGCTACTCGTCAAGTGAGCGGGGCCGGCCGCGCGGGGCGGCGGGCGCGCGGGCGGGCGCTTCCCGCCCACAGCCCGGGAGCGGGCGGGCTGGGGGAGTCTCCGGGCCCTCGCGCGCCAGGGGCCTGGGACCCGGCTGGGGCCGCGCGCGCCGGGGGCCTGGGGCTCCGCGAGGGCGCGGGGGGTGCTGGGCCAGGGGGCGCGGGGCGCCCTGGGATGCAGCCCGGCCCGGGCGGCGTCGCGGCCGCGTGGCGTGAAGAGGGACGGCGGGCGGGCCCAGAGCTCACCAGCCTCCCCCGGGCCCCTCCCCAGTCTCCAGGTTCATGGGGCCGTCGACGGGCGTGAACGTGGCCGGCATGGGCTCGCTGACGGGCATCGCGGACGCCGCCAAGTCGCTGGCGCCGCTGCACGCGGCGGCGGCGGCGGCGGCGCCGCGAAGGAAGCGCCGCGTGCTCTTCTCGCAGGCGCAGGTCTACGAGCTGGAGCGGCGCTTCAAGCAGCAGAAGTACCTGTCGGCGCCGGAGCGCGAGCACCTGGCCAGCATGATCCACCTGACGCCCACGCAGGTCAAGATCTGGTTCCAGAACCACCGCTACAAGATGAAGCGGCAGGCGAAGGACAAGGCGGCGCAGCAGCTGCAGCAGGAGGGCGGCCTGGGCCCGCCGCCGCCGCCCGCGTCGCCGCGCCGCGTGGCCGTGCCGGTGCTGGTCAAGGACGGCAAGCCGTGCCAGAACGGCGCCAGCACGCCGACGCCCGGCCAGGCCGGCCCGCAGCCGCCGGCCCCGACGCCGGCGCCTGAGCTCGAGGAGCTGTCCCCCAGCCCGCCCGCGCTGCACGGCCCGGGGGGCGGCCTGGCGGGCCTGGACGCGTCCGCCGGGGACTACGGCGGCGGCGTGCTGGGCGCGAACCTGCTCTATGGCAGGACGTGGTGACGGCGCGGGCGCCCCGGGGCGGGCCCCCACCTGGCCGGAGGGTCTGCGGGACGCCAAGGCGGATGAGGGGTGCGTGCGGAAGCGGACGCGTGTTGTGTGCGGAGATGGAAAACGAGCGGGTCTCGGAGAGGGGCAGACTCCGAGCGTCTTCGCTGGGGGTGGGGGACGGCGACAGCCCTGGGACCGACTAATGTCACGTCACGCCAGGAGGCTTTGAAGTGGTGGTTTTCTCCTTCCACAAGTTCTCAAACTACGCGAAAAGCTGGCGGAGTTCACTTCCACCGAGTTCTTAACCGCCGCTCTCAGAGTTTTAAAAGTTGCAAAGTTTGTTGGTGTTCGTAGCCGTAAAAATCAGCCCAGCTTCGTTCATTTCACAATGAATCCTTTTTGAAATGGAATTTATCTCGGGAGATTAATTTTTGAAGTGCAATTTTAATCATGTTTGATTGAAAGTAAAGTAAATCGTAGCTCAAGGTGGATCGTATACATAGCAACATTATTGCAGAGGAATTATTGCCATTTAGGTAATAGAGCAATGGAACAATCAAAATACTGATGATATGGATCTATATAACTTTTTAAATTTAATGCTGATTTCAAAATGTTTTGATCACTATTTGGCAACCGAGTGTTTGTATATTACCCTAAAAGAGGATTTTCCTCCCTAAGAGGCAGCTCACCATAAGAAAAAAAGGGTTGTATACATCTTTGTATATGATGTCTGGTCACCCAAAATCAACTGATAAAATAAATACACCCCATCCTTCTGTAGACATGTTATTTACTCTTTTTGAGGTATTTTCTTGTCTGAATTTCAATACCTTGATAAAGTACTAGAACAAGCAAGTAAAAGGCTAAAGCTGACATCAATTAACCTATATTTCAAAGCATATCAACAAGAGAGGTGATTTGTTGAATTGTGATCAAGATATAAAGGATAACTAAAATATAATTTTTTCATCATATTCAGAACTTAATAGTTGCACTGATTTTGTTGGTGTTTTATTGTATAAATAATGTATTTACTCTTTAATATGCCACTTTATATTTCCTATGTTTCAAATGGATATTTAAATATAACTTAAAAGAACCTTAAGTACTTTTTTCTAAAAGTCAAGTGGTCTTTTCTTTTTCATTAAGTGTATAGGGTTTTGTGGGGTTTTTTTTTTTTACCCTAGTTGGCATGATGTGATAGCACAGCTCAGTTTACTCATGATTTAAATAACTGGTATTGGAGTAAAAATACTAAAAGCTGAAGAAAACATGAGTTTATAAAATTAATGAAACTTAAATAACATGGATTAAGCATGATTTACAAATCATCGAAACAGTTCTACATTTGAGGTTTTAGAATTATAGCTTGGGGCCGAAACATTGTTTTTCATTTAATTATTACAGCATTTTTCTAAATGTGCAAAGTGTATCCATAGAAAAGTGTTTTAGAAGTTAAACTTGCACTTTCTCTAAACTGTATTTTATATAGTAATTTTAAAGAAATAAGTCCAGTTCCTTTCACAAGGGTGGGGGAGGGGGAGGGGGGCCACCACGGAAGCAAGGGAATCACCCTTTATCAAGAGACTGTGAATACATTTTTTGGAAAATGAGATCTAATTTTCAAAACTTTTATATAAGAAGAAATAATTTGAGCAAACAAATTAGTGTGAAAATGGTACAACACATCTACAGAAAATTCTCCCAACTTGGGTTTTTGTATATTAATGGAAGTGACTTTAGAAATGTTAACCAAGCTAGCAAAATTATTACTGATGTATCAAATTTCAAAATGCTTGTGTCGATTTGATTTCCTCATAATAGTACCAGAATTCTGAAAATTTACTTTTATAAAACATGTTAACATGTTCTAAAAGTCCATATAGTTTGCAATAATTTTTTTTACAGCCCTATACTTACAAAAACAATACCTTATAGCTTAAAGGCTCCAGGTAATATATTTAAAGAAAATGAATCTTCATGGATAGTTTTTTGCTCAATAATTTATTTCTGGTACAAAGAATCCCTATGAGTGAAGAAGTGAACTCTCTTTAAAAAATGTCACCATTAAAAAATGTCATATAATATTTTCTGAAATATTGGTATAGGCATATGTTTTTCCTTTCAGCATTCCTTTAAGTAGTAAAAGACCCAAGTGAGAAGTAATTGCTGCAGAGGACTTAACATTATACATCCAGAGACTTACTGAATTTATGCATACATATCCTGAAATTATGAAAAGGTTTAATTCCTAAAACATTAAAATAGAAAATGTTTTAATATATAATTCCACCTTCTGATTAATGCAAAAACAAGATCTTTTTTCTTCTTTTGCAATTAGTGCTTTGCAGATCTTTTATAAAAACACAAACGGCCAGACTAGGTGAAACTCATTAACTGAAGAGGAGGATAAGTGTCTCCACAACCAAGAGGGAGGATTGGCGCAGGGTCTGAGTGGAACAAAGCCCCCTCAAAGTTTAGCAGAGACCACAGCAAACCTCAGCTTCTGAAAGGCTAACTTTGTAGATATGACATTTTCCTACATGTTTTGGGTTTTTACAACAATCTAACTTATCTTTTTCAATTGAGGCATGGAAACCAAAACCCAGAATCAAAGTTGCAAAGAGGAACGGCAGGGATTGCAGGTACTTTTCTGTAATCTGTGTTGGGATGTAGATTAAAGTGTGCATGCGAGAGTGTGTGCAATTTTGAAGGACACAAGAAGGGTGTTTTGTATATGGAAGAGTGGGGGTGTAACCCAGTTGTCTTCTATTTAAGGCTTTGCTTAGAACTAAAACCTAATGGTCAGAGCAAGTAGTCAATCAGACCTCTGCCAACACAGATGCTGTGTTCAAATGCTATTCTGCTAGCATCTGTTTACTTTCAGTTTAAAGCAAATCAGAGACTCAATCCTGTTCACTAAATGCAAGCACCTTCCATAGACTTGCTTTGTTAACTGAATTGAATACTGATGATTTAGAAAGACTTTTAGAATAAAGTTGTGAACCTAGTTATATAAAGACCTATCAACTGGATTTTTAAATATGAATTTGTGCCTAAGAGAAAATAATGCATCATATGACGACAACATAAATTTGAGACGAAGTTCAAAGCATAAATGGTATTCCCAGCTGTTTAACATAACATTAACACTGTGTATGTCAACTGAGTCCAGATTTTTGAAATGCTGTTACTTGCCATCCCCACACCCAGAGAGACAGGGACATAGGATACATTTTATAAAACATAAGTAGCCTGTTACTGCTAGTGAGAATTGGTGAGCCTCTGAGGAAGTTTCAAAGAAGATGCCCAGACTGGGAACTGCATCCACATCTCATGAAGAATTTGCTCTCTCCAGTTAAGTATTGAGATAACTTTGTGATTTCAAGATCACTTTTGTTTTTATTATTTTTAAGTTTAGAGGTAATGAAAGTTTCCGGGAGAGGTTTTTTGGTTTTGCTTTAGAATGTTTACCTGCAAGTAAATGGAATGTCTTTTATGTTTTTTAATTTCTATGTAATCTCTTATTTCAGTAATTGTTTAGATGACTTCTAATAAAAGTTTAACCACTAACATTGCCCAAATTTAAGCTGTGCAAAAGTATTTTGCAGTAGTGAGTAATAGCTCTATTCCCACTTAAAGTATGTTCTCTCTCTTGGCCCTCCTTCCGTAAATACGGCATTGGGAAACAAGCCACTTTACCCTGAGTGGAGGGAAAAGTCCATAGAGAATGGGCCATTTATTATTTCATTCGTTTGTTGACCCTTTTCCTGGTTAGACATAGCAGAGCGGTTCATCACCAGGAATAGAATGACGGGATCTCGGCTCCACGACGCTTTTGCGCTAGGCGGGAGGTGTCAAACGAGCGGGACGCAGCTAGATAGTCACTCCGCAGTCTGGGAATGGGGACTTTAAGTGACTCTTCGGAGAATGACTAGATGTTAGATTCCTAAGCATAACTAACAATTCGGTAACATTCAGAAGTCTGCTTCGAACTTAAAACAGTAGCCATGGAAGGAAGAACATTTCCAATATTTTCTTACAGGTGCAGTGCTTGCATTTGTACAGGGAATTGAGACGAAACTGGGCAAGATGAGAAACTGCAGCGCCACATCCAGGAACCGGACAAATGATGCCACCCAGAGGGTCGGAGGTCGGAGCTTTCCCGCGCCCAGCCTGCTCACGCCGCCAGCTCGCTGGGCTCCCGGGCTGGCGATCGCGGGTACCGCCGCGAGGGAGACCTGGGCGCCGGGCACATGTCCCCCGTACACCGAGGGCCGAGCGCTTTCCAGTCTTGCTGGGAAGGAAATTGGGCCAAGGACCTAGGACCTTGAGAAGCAACCCGCCTGTTCCCACCGCACCATCCCGCCGCTCCCATCCTCCCACCCCCGCTTGCGAAGTCGCTGAGCCCCGCACCCCTGGGCCCTGCAGTTCAGTCCAGGCGCGCACCGCCTCCAGGACGCCCTGCTAAAAAGCGGAGCGCGAGACCCCCAGCCCCACCGGGCCGGTTCCTGACGTCTCATGTCATCGTCATCGTATGAAAGTTAACCTATCAGTTATTACGCTCAATTTGGCTTTGTAACGTTAAATGGCAATCTAATACCAATTTGTAGTCGGCTTTGCACATTAATATACATTACCCCATTTGATCTTTAAAGGGACGACAACTGCTCATTACAGGCCCTTAGTGCCACAATAGTCAGGCTGTTTCCAGGTTCTAAGTTTTTAAAAAATCTTTAATATGAAACCCTGAAAAAAATGTGCTGCATAAATATAATTGAGTACAATTAACTACTTAAAATTGGCCCACTGACTTTATTCTTACATCAAAATTTGAAGATTAAGTTGATATTCAAGGCTGTAAACAAAGTTCTAAAAAGGATTTTACTTGTTGAAATTAACAGGGCATTTTTCTGGAAGATTCAAACTAGGGAAAAGTTAGAAAGAGACGGAAGAATAAGGAAGGAGAGGAAGCAAGGGTGAAGGTACAGAGCAGGGCCTGAAGGGAGGGATCAGCTGGCTGGCAGTGCCTTCAGGGCACACCCACCTGTTCTGCAGACTGCAGAGGAAATTTCATCATTTTCTTCCACCAGGCCTTTTGCTTAGATGTCTTCAAACCAATGTTTTACACAGCCAAAAACGGGGATTTTAAAGATTGTCTTATGATAGCTTAAAATAAAAAGGTCTGAGAAAATATAAAGGTTGTAGAAGTGTGGGTTTTGGGTAACTATGAAGCTATACACAGACATTTATGGGCTCCTTTGGAATATGCAGTGCTTTATATAAAGATGATTATACATTTTTAGTATTTCAGAAGATAAACTTACAGAGAAATTTAATAGAAGGCATTATCACTTGAATGTCAAGTGATACGTAATGGTTGTGGAGTAATTCCTAATGAAGAGACCCTTTGTCTCAATAATAAAGGATCCTGCTTTATTCACCCATCATTAGCAATGAACTCAATAGCTTCAAAATACCTTCCTATTCAAGATTAAGGTGAGATCTTTTTTCCCCACATAGACCAAGATTAACAAGTGTGCTTTATTTGAATATTAAAGCAAAAATATCCTAAGTCACAAGGTCAAAGAGAAACTTTATATCTTACAATTTTAGGCTAAGATGGAAAATGGAAACAAAGCAGCAAGTCTGTGTGTCCAAATTTGTTTTGGCAATCAAATAAAAATTGCATATCTAAGTACTGTATGTGAACTCCAAACATATTTAAGGAATTATAGTGTGCTTAGTAGCAAGGGAAAAATGAGTACAAATTGAAATCTACTATGAAATAATTTTTAAAAATGCCAAGGAGCACAGACTGTTTAGCTAGGAGTTAAATTTTTCAACTTTTCCTAAAGATTTAAAACAAGTCCGTAGAACTATAGCACAAATCTATATATGAATTTTGTAGAAATGTATATAATTTATTCTCATAAGGATTTTATAGTTAGCCAAATGGTTAACAAGAACATGTAAATTTCTGTCGGATTGTCTTGCTGATCATATCCTCTTAAAATCTACTTCTTCATTGACTTGCTTTTGACATCTAATTGTAGAAATTGTTTTCTGCAAAAGTAGATTTAAAA